GTTCTATCTTCATTGATATTCACGACCTTTAAATAGGATACAAGATACTACTAAATAATATCTACCAAGAAAATATAAACTAACTAAATCCTGATAATAAAATAAAATATACTACTATTCAAATTCAACCGATTATGATATCTAAGATATATTTCCTAACTAATATATTGTGGAAGATTACTAATATCATATATTCCATAACTAATTCAAACTAAAATAAGTTGCACTAAATTGTGACAGTAATTAATTATTTAATAATTCTTTTATTCGTAATTTTATATTATCGCTGGTATGGAAAATCCAAGATGTCACGGCACGAATTCTGAGACTTCGAACCTCGGATCGAAAGTAAAAAGATGAAGGCGAAAAAAAATAAAAATATAAGTAAAATAAAATAAGAAAATGCAGTAAAATTAAAATAAAATTAAGTTAAACAATTCCACATTAAAATAAAATTACAAGACTTCGAATTTATTACAAAGGGGAAAATGGACTTGGATGCAACTAAAAAAATGAAATAGAGAAGACTGACTAAATGGAATGAAGGACTGAAGTTCCACAACGACCCCCTCTCTGACTGCATAGCTCTCGAACGCTCCTCCAGCTTGACCTTGCAACCTGCGAACAACTGAAAAAGAAAACAAAACGGGGTGAATTTATAAATATACCTAGTAAGTATCCTGCTTGTAGGAATGACTTACGTAGGGTAACTAATCTTCGATCTCTACCAATTGACTAGCCCGAGACATGCCCAGTTGTTTTGCAGCAGACATGTTTGTGTACTATGATTCAAGGAGCCAACTTGGCTGTAATACCACTTATCACAATCACATTCTTGTGGAGCGGGATGGCGATTTTGCGACAGTTATTCTAACCCGATGAACAAGCCAGCAGTATGAAAATTGTAAGTCGTAGACAATTCGGACGTTTGATCGAGCCTTGGTCATGTTTGAAAGAAAGTGTTTTAGAAAATGTAAGCGAGAAAAATACACAGAATCTTTTTCTTTTTCTTTTTTTTTTTTTTAGAAAACAATGTTACATGCTAAAAGAAAATAAGCAACAACTAAACTTTTATAGCATATAACCCCGTAGGAAGAATTGACGACTAGTTTCTCACCCTGTAGTACATTTTGGAGCATTTTAGCCATGGAGGGTGTAGACATGATTTTTTGGACAGGTCATGCCCCCGTACTAACACAACAAGAATAGTAAATGGCAATCTAACATGAAAGCAAGTAAAGGGGTTGGAACGGGCATGCGGTCGTGGACAATACGTTTTGGACGAGCATCATCATTGGAACATCTGACACGCGACCGTAAGCAACACGCCTTGAAAATGCCTGACCGTGACACCTTGCAACTTGACTGAAGCTCACCTCGCCTTGACAAGGTGTGTAAGTTGTAAGGTTAGTAGGCAAGATCTCGCTCCTTATGTGAATTATATGCATATGTTAGTTACGTCTTATGATCTAATTAGGTTATTATTGGTTACCGTACCTAATAACTTAGATTTTATTGCATGATGATAGATTATGTGCCCTAAAATCTGAAGTGGTACTTGACGAGGGGGTAGAGCAGGTAGAGCCTTGACTGAGACCGACCCTGCTCAAATTCCTTATCAGGAAAGGCACGCTGGGAATAAGTGTCGGAATAATTGGATACCATGACACTACAATCTATGATCTAGGCCACTGAGGTAAACTAGGGTAACATAAAAAGTGGGGACAATGTCACAATATCTTGGACATGGAGAGCATTGAGATTCATGCCATAAAGCCTTGTAATTAATTGTTTAATTTTAATAATATATTTGATTATTTTATTTAAAATTTAACATTATCCATGGTACGAAAAGTCCTAGATCATTGATGTAATCTTAAACAACATGTGATTGACATACAAGAGAATCATGTTTAAGAATAACCTAAAGGGTCTATAGTATGTCGATAAGGTTTGGTCTCTTATCTTGATAACATAATTGATACGACTCTGTCTGTAATTGTTACAAATGATTATATCTCAATCGTTCATGTTGACACATGTGAGTGGGTGTATCTTATACTGCAAAGAGTTTGTATAAGATTGGACCACGAAATTTTTTTATCTCGCTTTACAAATTCATTAATCGAGAAAATTAATATTTTACAGGATGACCATATGCGACTCAACCTCAATCCTAAGGGAGTTGAGAATGACTTTTATAGCAAATTTAATGTGTCTACTGTTTTGGGAACTTGACCAAACAGGGAGCTGGGAACATAATTTCACGACATGAAATTCACTCTTTCCGATATAGAATAAGTAGACGAGTAGTTCCCTCAAGTGCTGATTTCGGGACTTGAACAATGGAGTTACACTCTCTCACCGACCCGGGAAGGACTTGGTTTATGGTTTGATCATAAGTAAATTGTTCATGAGAGAGTTAGTGGCACTTAAGGCATAAGACATTGCGAACAACTCGTGATAGCTTGTAACGATTATATCAATGGTCAAAACTTGTTGTACACTATATAAGGGTGCAACTCTAGGTCTACGATGGAGTGGCCTGTAGTTAATGAACAAAGTTGATTAATTAAGGAATATATTTAATTAATTTTACGTCATTGCAGCTTATAATCAATACGGTCATAAGGTTCCTTTGCCAGCTCATAGTAACACGAAAAGGATCGATTTAGTTGAAGAAAAATTTCGAAGAAGAAAAAGTATTTAATTTGAAGTGTTCAAATTGATATTTAACATATTAGATCCATTAAATACAAGAAAGAGAAAAAATATATTTAATTTAGAGTGCTTAAATTGCAAATTAAAATATTATATATATTAAATATAAAGAAAGAAAAATACATTTAAGTTAATGGGTTCAAATAGGAGAAAAATATATTTATTGCTTTTGATATACTAAATGTTAAAATAATCCATGCATATAGATAATTGAATGAAAATATATATTTGAAATTTGAGCGAGATTTAAATTAGTTAAATATATATGAGAATATCTTATGACATTTAAATATGATTGGGGAAAGATGTTATATCCTACCATGTCAGATATTCAAATATATTATTTGGTAAATATCCTCAAATAGCCGTAGAGAAGACCCTTGGGTTGACCCAAAAAGTATCCCACATTTCCTCGGTTCCAGTATTCTCTCTAAAAGTCTCCTTCTCTCGTCCTTGCAGATTTTCTTTCAAGAAGCAACCACAAGCCTTGACTTTGTGTTCGATTCCTAGCGATGAATACTTTATGGTGGAGATTCACCTATTGGTGGAGAAGTTGGAGCAAGTAGACTAAAGATCTGCGAGAACTTTCTCCATATTTCTTCAATGTAGTTTGTTTAACATTTTATTTTGTTTAATTCTAAGTAAGATCAAGAACGATTCTAATACTTTCGGTGCGCTAGTTAAACGTTCATTTCCAACCGAGAGGTCAGCGGGACTCTTACAAGTTCGACCCATTGACATCTAAAGGGAAGAACATAACCCCAACTCGTCGAATAAGAGAAAGATCTAAACACCAATGCCACTTTTTTATGCAGGTGAAAATGAGATAAAGCGGCCACTATCCAATGCGAGTCTTGTGAAGGAGAAAATGTTGACAAGTGGCCAACTATAACAGCTTCCAATGAAGCCAGATAACTTGAGTACATGTTCTCATGTGCACTGACCTTGATGGTTCAATTACAAAACACCCCCGAGTCCAAAAGTGTGATTTTGGGACAAAAAGATATCACAAAGACTTTATGGAAGCTACCCTGCTGTTTTTAGAATACCATCACCGTTGGCACCCAGCATTCACTTGATCCACTGACCACGGGGAAGGCTCGAGTGAACAACTTTGGCAAGGCCAGTGCTCTTATCCAGCACGAGTGGCGTCCAAAGTCGTTCTTCACCGTATCTGCGGATGTAGACATCCAAGCGGTTGATAAGGGTGCTAAAGTTGGACTAGCTTTCGCCCTCGAGCCATGATAGAACAATTTTACTCGCTATGGCTGGAAGAATTAAGGTAGAGTTTTTTGGTACATAGCCCCAAGTTGTTTGTTGAGACCTTGTTTATATGTGTTGATCAAGTCTTACCGGTTGTTTTAGAGTGTAGAAATAAATGTTAAGACATGAATTGAGCAGCTCGGTTCAATAAAGACATGAATAATAGTTGGTTTGTCCTATCACGCTAATTCGACCAAAGGAGGATCCTAAATTGTGATTCAACTTCCTAGACATGTATATTTCTATCCTAACAATCTGATCACCAAATATCAAACATGCCCAAGTCAATTCCTACCAGTAATGTTCAAAAAAAAAATCGAATTGACTATTTACATGCTCGGTTTTACCCATTCCTCAAACTTAAAACTCTCCAAATATCATAATTAGGTCCTAATTCATGTAAAACAGAAAAGAGAGAGAGAGAAATCAGTAAAAAGGATTAAAAACAACATACATATATACAATCCTGATAGGAATTTACTTGGACATGTTTAATATTTTGTGATCAGGTTGTTAGGATAGGAATATACATGTCTAGGACGTTGAACCCACAATTTACAATCCTCCTTTGGTTAAAATTGAACAAAAACATTAAAGAGTTTAAAGGATGGGGTTTAGATCAACCATTAATTTATTTGCATGGGTCAATATTAAGCTGAACTGTTAAAAGGATAAACTGCTGTGTCTAAAATAATGGGTAGATTTATTAAGATTGTTAATGATGTGGTTGAGTAAACTAATAGTTACCGAAACAACTATAGGGATAAGAGTTATTCTAGTATAATATTTAACGGCTATAGGAATAAGAGTTATTCTAGTATAATATTTAACGGCTATAGGAATAAGAGTTATTCTAGTATAATAATTCATTGAGATGTTCTCGTTTAGTGGGAACACTTGGACCTACTCCACGACTGCATTTGTTTTAAATCACTAGATACCATACCATAAGAAAAAGTTTATTGAGTTTAAAATTTTGTGAGTGTTGTTTGATTTTTATGGTAGAATTGGTAAATAATTTATAAGCCCTCTAGAGCATTTTTACTATCCTTTAATTTTAGTACCAACACGTTAAGCGGAAAATTAGATTCGTCTGCTAAGCAACCAGAAGGTTCAACCACACCAGAGGTAGTTCCTTCGGCATTTTTACATGAAGCTTTAGCGATGGGATTCTCGTAAGTTAGGTTTATGTCTTTCAAGCTTAATCCAGTGCAATGATTTATTGGGCTACAATCAAAATTGATGGCTATTTCAGTGGCGGAAGTTCCCTTGATGTCTTCGTATGTTACTTCGCTAACTTTAACTCCAGAAGCCTAATCAGAACAAAGAAGAACGGTCAAAATATGCTAAGAAAACGGATAAACAAGGACATCTATAAACTTTTTTACCACCTAAAAACTTCGTACCATATTAAGATATGTGAGGGTAACCGAGTCCGCAATTTATTACCCATAAGTGTAATTTAATGTAACAAAAAATAATACTAATAATTTAGCACCCATTTTAAACCAAACAAATTTCAAGCAATTAAAGATAAAATGAATCCATTATTTATAAAATTAAAAATTTGAGTTCTATTCAAATGTAAGGTTAAATATAATTAGAAAAAAAAAATTAACTTGTGAGATGAACGAGAAAATATACCTGACCAGGACAGTCCTCCTCATGTGGACAGTAATTTTGATCAATTATGATTGGATTTTTCACATTATCCATAATGATGTGTTGAAAATAAACTTTTGTAGCAAATCCACGGCTTGGTCTTCCCCAAGACTTAATCCTTACTCCATTCTTAGTCCCGGTGAAAGTAGATAATGTCACTGTAACGTTATGCACTCCATCCTCCTCGGCCTTTATCCCCAAGCTCCCAATGCTACAAATACATTCAATAAAATACCACATTTTTCATGAGGTTCAATTTTCTCGCTTCAACCTAATATATTAAATAACAACTTTGATCCAAAATAATTTTAAAATAATTTAAATCTTTTTTCTCACATTCAAAATAACTTTAGGATATATTTTTAATGATTCAAATTTAATTCAACGTTTAGGTTTATCTTTTAAAATTTAGTGCGACAAATTTATTTAACCCTTTGAAAAAAAAAATTCTAAACATGTTCGTCATAATCTAGCTACCTGATTCCATGTCCAGGTCCACATGTAATACTTTCCACCCACAAGTTGGAGGTCCCTGGACTGATTGAGATGCAGTCGTCGCCGTTGCTAATGCTCGAGTTGAGGATGGTCACATCTGATGATTGTTCCACATGGATGCCATCAGTGTTTGGACTGTCGTCTGCAGCCGAGACATTCACTCTTGTCATATGCACGTTTTGACACCCACTCACCACAATGTTGAACTTTTGGCTGTTAATTGAAGATAATCCATTGATGTTCACGTTTTGTGCATCATTTATTCGAAGACTCTGTCCATTCAAAAGAATCCAAAGCAAGAATTAGTACAAATTTAAATTAATATTGTAATTAATGGACTCATTTTCTTTCAACTTTCGGCTAAAGAAAAACTTTCAAATTTTATTTTTTATCTAGCCAACTAAAATTTTGCATACCGTGGCTCTAGTGGGGCAACTCTTCCCCGAGTGTTTACAATTCCATAAGGCAGTTCCTTGCCCATCGATAATACCGCCAGTAATGGAAAGCCCATCTATGTGACTAAACTCAATCCAAGATTTAGTCTTAGCTAAAACTTGAATGTCCGAGGAAGCCACAAGAGTTCCATCAATGAGAACAGTAATAACATTGTTCTTACA